GTTCTATTCCACTTATGCATATGTCTGTCCTTATGCCAATATAATACAGTCTTTTTTGTTGTTTATTTTTGTTTTTGAATAGAAGCAGCTGCCTTTAATTGGGTAATACAGGTTTAAAAAAATTTTGTCATACAGTCTTGATAAGAACATCATATTTTAAGGAGACAGTTTTAATTTTTGAGTTTATATTTAAAATCTAGAGTTATAAGTTTTCAATCCTTTGAACTCATTAAAGTTTTCTAAGATGATTACAATGATGATAAATGTCATGAAAACAGTTAAGAATTCTTTTTAAAAAAATTTTATTTAGTGAATTTCATAGAGAGGAAGGTAGAGAAAGACCAACTTGTTCCATTCATCTGTGTATTCATTGGTTGATTGAACCCACAACCTTAGTGTATCAGGATGCTGCTCTAACCAAAGGAGCAATGTGGTCAGGGCTCTTCAGTACTTTCTTTTAATCTCATAAGTGAACCCAAATCAGAATAATAACTCTGGTTTAATGCATCTCTCATTTATTGATAAATTCCATGTACATGAATTGAAGGGAAAACTAGTAGGTAATTTATTATGGAAATATGGATACATGGAAGGTATATGTCAGGTGTCTCAAGATCTGGGTACAAGATTTCATCCTGGCTTTTAAACTAATGACCTTAGCTTAGTCACTTTATAGCTCTAAACTCCACTTTCCTCCTGTAATAACTAAAAATCATTTCTGTATCTATAGCTGCATCATAGTAATATGTGAGTCTCAAATTAAGGTAATGTGCTTCTAAGTACCCTGGAAACTGCAAAATGCCAGAGATAGTTAACACTTGTATATAACCCTAATTAACAGTAAGTTCTCTGAAGAATCATTCCATAGATATTCTAAAAGTACTCTTGAATTTTTCTCAGGTCTTAGGAAGACAGAGTCTCAGGGCAGTTTTTAGGGCAAATTACTCTCTGCCCATCATCTTTCCCTCCTCTCTCACATAATGTGTAGTACTTCTTCTACTGCAGGAGTCAGCAAAATTTTTCTGCAAAGTGCCAAATAGTAAATATTTCAGACTTTGTGGACAACGTAGGGTTTTGCCACATATCCCCCCCCCCCTTTCTTTTACAAACCTTTAGTAATGTGAAAACCATTCTTAGTTGGAGGGGCTGTACAAAACAGGCCTGACTGATTTGGGCCTGCAGGCCTGTTATGGACTCATTCTTTTGGGTCCAAGCAGGTTTTAGTTTTAGACACTAGTTATACTCATTTGCACAAAACAGTGTTAATGATTAGTTAACCAAACAAGTATTATATGATACTTTTTATTCTAACGGCAAAACAAGATTTTTAAGCAAAACACTGTGAGTTGGTTTGGTTTTTTTATTATGTTCAGTATCTGAATAAAATTGGTCTCTTTAGGTAGGGACAAAGATACTTTTTTGAATAAGTGGCTGGTTGTGGTACAATTCACATTAAAGTATTAGAGGACAGATAATTACAAAGGGCAGGATACAGGTGATGATCACTGACTCCAAGACAGTGCTGAGCAGAAAGAAATTTTTGTAAATTTTGTCATGTCATTTTTAGCAAGATATGGTCTCAACAACACTTTTCACTTGTCTTTACTCTCATTGTTTAAAACCAAGTTGCAATAATGCCAAGGATTCTAAAAGTTATCTAAACACACGGTGCTACTAGGGCATGGGGAAATGGGAACTCTCATACATTGGTGGTGGTGTTGTAAATTGATACTTCCCCTTTGAAGGGTGATTTGGCACTATCTGTTAATGTTAAAAATATACCTATCCTTTGACCCAGTTCTTCTGCTTCTGGGAATTTACCCAATAACTACAATCCATGCAGACAAATATCTAGTCGTTGCTGCATTGTTTATAGAGTTAAAATATTAGAAATAACCTAAATGCCCATCAATGGAGCAATATGTAAATTTGGAATAATATATTTAAAAAATAATGGCATGGAAAAGTGTCACACAGGTCTTTTATTTTATTATGCTCTTCATATATATTTTCAAATTAGTAAAGACAGTAAACTTTTTGTACTCTTAAAAAACATAATAAAGATATTGAATTCAGTCCCCTTTATTCTCCTTTTAAATTAAATGAAAAATAGAATCAGAATATACTTATTGCTGGACATTGGCTTAGACCAGTGGTTTCTGGGAGAAAACTACCACTTCCCATGTAGATATATAATAGCCTAGTCCATGCACATCCACACACACTTTTTTTCTTTTTAGCTTTTAAAATGTATTTTTAAAATTTTTATTGTTTATACTGTTATAGTTGTTCTGGCTTTTTCTTTCTTTCTCCACCTCCACCCAACTCCACTCTCTCCCATCCCCAAGTCAACCCCCATATTGTCGTCTGTGCCTAGGGGTTGCACATAAACGTTCTTGGTTAATCCCTTCACCATCTTTCATCTTGTCCCCAGGCCCCCTTTCTGGCAGCTGTCAGTCTATTTTATGTATTCATGCTTCTGTTACTATTTTGTTCATAAGTTTATTGTGTTCATTAAATTCCACATATAAGTGAGATCATGTAGTATTTTTCTTTTACTGATTGGCTTAATTCACTTAGCATAATTTCCTTCAGGTTATTTTCTTAAGTATTTGGAAGACAGTTGCAGACACTATGACCTTTCACCGCTACATAGTTCAGTATGCGTCTCAACTCCGTTACAGCTAGTACACCTAGAAAAGTTAACAATAATTTTGTAATATCTAATATTGAGTGCATATTCAAATTTCCAAGTTGTTCCTCCAAATATCTTTTCTTTCTAACCAGGATCCAATTGAGTTTCATGTATTTCATTTGGTTATCTCTTCGGTTTCTTTTAATCTAGAGTCACTTTTCTTATAGAAGATTCCACATTTTACAGTTAAATGATTAATATGTATACTATTTAATTAATATCCCATAACATGGACTTAATTTTAATTTTTTAATATATTTATTTTGGAGAGAGGGAAGGGAAGGAAGAAAGAGAGGAAGAGAAATATCCATGTGTTAGAGAAACATAGATTGGCTGCCTCTTGCACACTCCCAAATTGGGGACCTGGCCCCGCAACCCAGTCATGTGCCCCAGCTGGGAAGCGAACCCGCAGTCCCTTGATTCACAGGCTAGCAGTCAATCCACTGAGCCACACCAGCCAGGACAGGACGTAATTTTTAAAATTCTACTATGTACATTTTTATTGTGATAAAATATAAGTACATTCACATTGTTGTGCAACCATCACCATCACCTACCTCCAGGACTTTTTCATCTTCCCAGAAATGCTGTACCCATTAAACAATGGCTTCCCACTCTTCCCTGCCCCTATCTCCTGTCAATTACCATTCTACTTTCTACCTGAATTTGACCTCTCTAGGTGCTTATGTAAGTGGAATCATACGGTATATGTCTTTTAAATTTTTTTAAATTGATTTTATAGAGAGAGAAGGGGGAGGAGAAAGTGATGGGGGGAGAGGGGGGAGAGAGGAGGGGGGAGAGAGAGAGAGAATGAATTGTTGTTCTGCCCATTCATGCATTCATTGGTTGACTCTTGTATGTGCCCTGACTGGGAATGAAATCTGCAACCTTGGCATATGGGTGTGATGCTCTTATCAACTGAGCTCCCTGGCCAGGACCGGTATATGTCTTTTCATGACTGGTTTATTTCACTTACCATAATGTCTTCCAGGTTCATCCATACTGTAGCATGTGTCAGAATTTCCTTTTTAGGGCTGAATATATTTCATTGTATGTATATACCGTATGTTGTTTATCTATTCATTCTTGATGGACAGTTTGATTGTTTCCACCTTTTGATTGACTATGAACACTTGAAAACCTACCTAAAGGTAGGGAAAATATATTAGTAACTCTCATCCAATTCAACAATTATCAAGATTTTTGCCACAAATTTACCCCTACACAATATCGATGAAAAAAATTTTAAAGGACATTTTCTTATAAAATCTCAATGCTATTTTCATGCTTAAGAAAATAACAATTCTTTGGTTGGTTGCTGTCATGTAATACCTGGTCCATAATCTAATTTTCCCAATTGTCTCAAAAATGTCTTTTAGTTTGAATCGTATCTAGACAAGATCTATACCCATTATATTTCGTTGCTGTGTCTCTGCATCTGTTTAAATTCTAGCAGTTGACCTTCACCTTTTTTTTAATGTCATTTATCTTTCTGCAGAACTTAATTTATATACGCACGCATTTACCGCAATCCCCCCTAGAACCACACACCCATACACACATTTAAAAGGAACCAAACAGTGTGAAATTTTCAGGTTTTGGAGCTTGGTTTTATTTAAAAATACTTTTAGTATTTTAAAGGCACAGTATTTCTAAATTCATGTAAGCCTCATGGTATCGTATAGGTCGAATGCTGTCACATGATCAGACAGCAATTTAGGGAACCACAATTTTGGCCTCGGTAGATGCAGCTTTTACAGGAGGAGGCAGGATTCCCTCCTTCCAGGAGCCAAGAGTCCTGGAAACCCCTTCCAACGCTAAGCTGGAAGAACCGTTTCCAAGTTAAAAACAACAACAAAAAGTAACTAAATAAAAAACTTTCCTTTGAATATAGAGATAAAGTAAATTACCAGAGAATGTGGTGCTAAGGAAACGTATTACTGAATTAAATGATCAGTGCAGATGGAGAGACGGTGGGTGACTATGGGAGGAGGGTGAAGGGTGGGATAAACAGAGGTTGTCAGAGACGGGCCGAAATTTGCTCGACCTTTCCACCCGAAGAAAGCACCCAAGACTCAGAGGTAAAGCCCCCGGGGCAAGTGGAGTCAAGGGACAGAAGAGAGCAAGTCTCTGGAAACAACTACGGGTGTGTGTGACATGCAATACTGGAACCGGTTTTACCAGGGCGTGGAACTCTCCGGAACCAGGCTCCGGCAGAGAACTCTGTCGGAAACCTCCCTGCACCCAGGGCACACGCCCAGTGCACGCCCCCAGCAGGTGATTCACCTAGCGTGACTCAGGGCGGAAGTCTCTGCCGCGGAAAGTAGTCCCGGACCACGCAGGTTCCAAAGGGCGGAGGGAATGAGAGGGAGAGGAAGCTCGGAATTTCCTGGAGCATGAGTCCCAGGAGCGGCAGCCGCTTAGCCAATCCCTGGAAAGGAGAGCATTGTCAGCTCGGCCCGCAGATCCCTCCGCTCGCGTTCGCCGTGCTGAGGCCGAGGGGGCCGCCATTTTGGATGCTTAGTCTTGGTTCGAGAATCTGTTTCTGCTGTTTGCACGCCTGGATTTGGCCAGGTGAGTGTGGCACCCTCAGCGTCAAGGGTCTTTTCTACCATCTTCACCCTGCGGCTCAAATGTAGAAGTCTCTAACCCGGGGTACATGGCAGGTGAAGACAAAAGGAAGGGTCCTGGTTGTGGGGGGGTCAGGCCGCAGGGGCTGAGGCGCTGGAGGCCGCCTAGGGCCGGGGGCGTGACACGGTCGTAAGCAGCTTGGAGGTGACTGATCCAAGTTATTTGAACCCGTCAAACTTTCCTAATGTTTTCCCGGTCCCGAGGTGTCTTTTCTCTGGGGTGGAAACGCCTCAGCTACGGCCCCAGTCGGTGAAAGGGCTCGGGCTGCATTTTGAACTCCGAAAAGCGAAGCCGCTGCCCCTCCTCTTTGGCCCAGAAAGACTTCGGGAAGGTTGTGTCTCCAGTGTCCGGAAGGGTCTCTTCGCCTCCGAGTCCCGCGGCCTTCTGGACTGCGTCCTGCGCGGCCCGGAGGTGGGGCTCCTTGGGCTGAAGGAAACAGCGGCCTCAGCCCCTTTTCGCAGACTCCTGCCTGTCTGATGAGAGACCCTGTGAGGAGCCCATGGCCCTGTCCTTGCCCCTCTCCTCTTTGTGTACTCAGTGTTCCCCTCCCGGGTGCTGGAGGTGGGAACCTTGAACTCCACCAGCGCAAACTTTCCCAGGGATGGGGGAAAGACTCAAGAGCGTCTGTTTAGTAGGTACTAGGGAAGGCACAAGAGAGACACTTTCACTCTCTTTAGTAGTAAAGTTATAATTAAGAGCCGGAAGTAACTTCTTGAGGATTGTAATTTTCCTGTTATGCCGATGTATTTATTATTTTTTAACTTTGTATTGCGAAAATTTTATTTTTTGAAAAATTTTTATTCATTTATTTTTAGAGACAAGAGAAGGGAGGGAGAAAGAAGGAGAGAGAAACAACAATGTGTGGTTGCCTCTCGCAGGCACTGGGGACATGGCCTGCAACCCAGGCAGGTGCCCTGACTGGGAATCTAATGGGTGACCCTTTGGTTCGCAGGCAGGCACTGAGCCACACCAGCCAGGGCAGATGTTAGCATTAATTTTAAAGGCACCCAGTTTAAGTCCTCTCACTTTTAAAGTTGTGTTACTGGTTTGTCCAAATTACTTGTTTTCATTTTTTCTCTTTACCTCTGTCTTTGGCTTCTAAATGATCAGAACTCCAGAATTCCCAACTCTGGTTTACTTAATTTAAGCTCTCATTCCTGTAAAGTCAGTCCCAATTATATGCAGCCTGTTCGGATTTAAAAATAAAACTACAATATGGAGTGTAGTCTAATGGAATAACTTCAAGAACAGGGAAAGTAGTAAGCACATAAATACTAATTTCAGCATTATTACATTATGGCAAATGTCAAAAGGTTGGGAAATTAATATGAAAATTATTACTCTGGAATATTAGGCAGCCATTAAAATAGTTTATAAAGATTGTAACAGTCTTTATACAATACTAAGTAGTAGAAGGATTCAGTGGTGCTCAGAGTCCATGATTTCAGCTTTGTAAATACATGCCTTAAAAACTCTTGGTAAAAACTATACTTAATTAATTTTCTGCAGTTTTTAAAATAACTATTGAGAAACAAATTAAGAATACTTTCATAATGCCTACACATTTCAGATTTATAGCGCTTTCCATAAAATCTTGATGGTCTCTGAATTATGAAGCCTGTACTTGCGAGTTACACATGATGCTACCGGTTTTGTGGTGTTTTTTTTTTCATTTAAAAATTTTTTCTATCTTGATTAGTTTGATTAATAAGGATCTGATGACGGTTTACAGCACAGGTGGCAAACACAAGGCCCTCGGGCTGAATCCAGCCCTCCACGTTGTTATGTCCGGCCCTGCACTTTGTTTCTGCCAGGTGGTAGTACTGAGCTCCTTGCCCCTAGTTAAGGAGTAGTTCCATTTATAAATGGGTGGGGGGTGCAGGGTGGAGGGGAATGAAGGGGGGGAATAGAACAACTGTAATGGCATAATCAATAAAATAAAAATTAAAAAATGAAAAAAAAAGGCTCTTGGACCTAAGTGATTAAAAGAGGGCCTAGATGAGTTTGTTCTAATGTTAGGATTGGGGTAAAGGGAGGGATTGGAAAAAACCAAGAAGGGCACATCAGACTGTTGACTAATGTGAAACATAATGGTGTTTCACTAATAAAAATAGTAAAGTATGTAAACAAGATAGAATACTGAGAACTAGTTCTGCAGTCAGTAGTTCATAATCCTTTTATAACATTTATGTGAGAGTTGTGTATGTGTCTTAAAGTTGTTTTTATGCCACCCGGTTAGATTTTGAGCTTGAAGTGCTACAGTCATTTAAATGCCTCCTCTATGGTGAACTTTGCACAGTATTTGGTAGATTAGCACTGAAGTGTTTGTGGAGTGAGTGAATGATGGTAAAGATACTGGGGCAATTGGACAATAGGTAATTAGACAGTGAGGTAATTGGACAATATTATTATGTGAGATGTGTATAAATTCATCTTTGCATATATTCGTGTGCTTGTTTTATGTATACAAGGTGGGGCAAAGTAGGTTTACAATGGAATATGCAAAGGGGTTTATTCTTGTATTATTATTTATTATTGTATTGTTTCCCATATGAACAGCTATAAACCTGCTTTTGCCCTACCCTGTAGAGATATTTGTTTATAAAGCAGTAACAGTTGACCATAATATTTTATTTACTTTTAGGTTATTCCTAAAATTAATATTCCTAATCATGTAAGCTACAAAGTTTGTTAGTTTTGGAAACACAGATTCAAATCCTGAAATGGTAATTAAATTGATCTTTTGTATTAATCTAACCTTGGGCTAATGATTTAGTTCATATATTGGTAATTATTTAGGACATGTCCTTATTATCTCTAGTTTCGTGTCATTTTCTTTAATTAGTTTTTTAGAATAGGAATCCATTTTCTGAACATTGAAAATCATCAACACTTAACAAAAGACTGGCAAATTCCTATTTCCTTTCTTTAAATTTAGAACAAACGATAAGTTAGTTGAATTTTTTAAAGTTACTTTTAATTAAATTTCCTGCTGATTAACAATGAACAGCAGCTTTGTACAAAGCACTGTGGTAGGCAGTGTGGGAATAGCAATGAAACCTATACTGATTGTATGCAGGAGCTATATGGATTGTGTACAGTTGAAATCCTTCAGTATGGTTGAAACAGGTTAATAATCAAAAAGTTAAAGTGGGGGAAGGATGCAAAGCATACCTTAGACATTTTATTTTAACCTAAAGCACATAATAGTACATCTATCAGCTCATCTTTAGATGATGAGAGAGACTTTTTGAATATGGCTCTGTTGACTGAATTTATTTTTTACTTTTTATTTTTTGGAATTCAAAAGCATTTTATTGATTATGCTGTTACAGTTCTAATTTTTTCCCCTTTGCTCACTCCCACCTGCATCCCCCATTCCCCGAGGCAATCCTCATACCTTTTTTCATGTTCATGGGTCATGCATATAAGTTCTTTGGCTACTCCATTTTCCAGACTGTACTTTACATCCTATGGCTATTTTGTAACTACATGTTTGATTTTTTTTTTAAGATTTTATTTATTTTTTGGAGAGAGGGGAAGGAAAGGAGAAAGAGAGGGGGAGAAACATTCCTGTGTGGTTGCCTCTCATGCGTCCCCTACTGGGGACCTGGCCTGCAACCCAGGCATGTGCCCTGAGTGGGGATGGAACCAGTAACCCTTTGGTTCACAGGCCCCTGCTCAGTCAGTCCACTGAGCCACACCAGCCAGGGCCCTATATGATCCTCTCACCTCTTCACCCATTCCCCCACGACCTCTCCCATCTGGAAACCATCAAAATGCTCTCCATATCCACGATTCTGTCTCTGTTCTTGTTTGCTTAGTTTGTTTTTCTGATTCAGTTATTGATGGCTATATGTTTATTGCCATTTTATTGTTAATAATTTTCATCTTTTTCTTAAATAAGTCCCTTTAACAATTCACATATTAATGGTTTGGTGATGGTGAACTTCTTTAGTTTTTTTTTTTTGTCTGGGAAGTTTTTTATCTGCTCTCCAATTCTAAGTGGTAGCTTTACTGAGTAGAGCAATCTTGGCTATAGGTCCACTTTTTTCATGACTTTGAATATTTATTGTCAGCGCCTTGCCTGTAAAATTTCTTTTGAGAAATTAGTTGACAGTCTTATGGGGGTTTCCCTGTAGGTAACTAACTGCTTTTCTCTTACTGCTTTTAAGATTTTCTCTTTATCTTTAACCTTTGGCATTTTAATTATGTTGTTTCCTGGTGAGGCCCTGTTTGTTTTCATCTTGTTTGGGACTCTCTGTGCTTCCTGGATTTGCTGTCTATTTCCTTCATCAAATTCGGGGAGTTTTTTCTCATTATTTTTTCAAATAGATTTCCAATTTCTTGCTCTTTCTCTTCTCCTTTTGGCACCCCTATGATGTGAATGTTCGAATCCTGGAAGTTTTCCCAGAGGCTCCTTACACTGTCCTTGTTTTTTGGATAATTTTTTTCTTTTTGTTGTTCTGACTGTTTTTTTGCTTTCTTATGTTCCCTGTCATTGATCTGATTCTCACCTTCATCTACTGTACTGTTGATTCCCTGTAAATTGTTCTTTATTTCCATTAGTATTTCTGCCTGGATTCTTTTTATGTTATTGAGGTACTAAGTTCCATAAGCATCCTTATTAACGAGTGTTTTAAATCCTGCATCTGAAAGATTGCTTGTCTCCATTTTGTTTAGTTCTTTTTCATTCATTTGGGCATGTTTCTTTGTCTCCTTGTTTTGGCAGTCTCCCTGTGTTTGTTTGTGTGAATTAGGTAGAGGGGCTATGACTTTCTGATTAGGTGGTAGTGTGGCCTAATGTAGTGGGTGTTCTGTAAGATCTGGTGGCACAGCCTCTTCTGTCACTCAAGCTGGGTACTCGAGGTGTACCCTCTATGTGGGCCGAGTACACCCTCTTGTAGTTGAGCCTTGGTTGCTGTTGGCAGGTCAGTGGGAGG